ACACCCTCCTACTCCACTCAATTTACTACATGTCCTTACACCTTCCATATACTTAACCCAATGGACAAAACAGGGCATATTACACATTACTGACCTCTATGATGACCAAGTCCCACACTCGTTCCAGAATATCCAAAGCAAATATACACTTCCTTCTACCGAATACTTCACCTACTTAACAATTATACATTACTTACAAACAACTAAAATACCCTACTCTACAAAGATCCATATTACTGTATACCATGCGATATCCCGGTAAGGGCATTTCTACCTTTTATACGCTCCTCATTAACCTACAATTTGCCATGCAAACTACCTCCCTAACAAATTGGGAAAAAGTACTCTCGAAACAAATTACAACTCAATCATGGGAAAAAGTGTTCACTATTACACACAAATCCACCCGGTGTACCTCCCACTGGGAGTCGTACCTAAAAATCTCCACCAATGGTACCTAACTCCCGTTAAACTCTCTACCTACTATCCAAACCACCCCTCTTTTTGCTGGAGACAATGTGGTGACATCGGTTCAACAATACACATCCTCTGGTCTTGCAAAACAATTAGATCCTACTGGAACAGCATCTTCAATCTAATCTCAGAAATATCTGGAACCTTGACCATCCCAAATCCTTCTTTAGCACTCCTACATATCGGAATTGAAGAATTTCCACCTAACTCCCGCACCATCATTGTCCACACACTTTTCGCAGCTAAAATCAACATTACTAGTTTATGGAACACCACTAACACCCCTTCTCTCACACTCCAAGATCTTAACTTCCAATGTGACATGGAAAAGAGATCAGCATCAAACAATTCCTCTCAACATAAATTCACCCTTCAATGGGCTCGATGGTTACACAACCCAAAATGCACCATACAACTTTGATTAACATATCGCAAATGTAAATCCAAAATAATAGCCAAACTTAGACTGGTACTTCCTCCCCCTTCCAAGTTACATACCCTTCCTTTCCCCCCTATCCCTTCCTGTTCTATATTTCCCCCAATACCTCATACACTCCGCCAAGTTCAACATACTGACTAGAATACCTCTGATGATGTTGTCTCATAGAACCTTACCAAATCCCCCAATACTTGGAGGGATAAAATACTCTTGTCTATACTGTATTACGACATTTCCTGTTGAACTGTTTAACATTATCTGTTATGTCTTCAAAACCCTCAATAAAAATTCATTGAAATTAAACCAAGATGGCGAGTTGCATCCAAGCACCTAATCCAGCGCATTTCTTGCTGGAGTAGTTCTTTATTCCAGTCGCCTCCCCTTGTAGGGATGTGTATTCTGTCTAGAGCTGAGAAGACAACTTTGAGCATTTTCTATTTATGAACTTTAGCAACATGTCTGCACAATGGTAGATAGAGATTTTCTATTCTCATAGCATGAATATGTTTGTAAATACATCTCCAAAATTCTTGGCGTGTTTTACCTACATAAAAAGATCCACATTCACATGACATGTGATACACTACTCCTTGCATCTGGCAGTTAAAAAAATGTTTAGAAAATAATTTGTCTCCATTTGGAAGAGTACATTTTTTTCTATTATCAAGTAAATATCAATATGCGCACTTTCCACAAGGGAAAGTGCCAACATATTTGCATGGATCACGTCCTTTGTACTCGCTTTGTACAAGAAAATATTTTAATGATCCTGCCTTTCTATATGTAATAGAGGGGTTTTCATTGACCAATTTGCCAATGATAGGATCGTCTACCAAAATTGACCAGTGATTATGTAATATTTTCCTTATTTTAGTATGATCTTTGGAATATTTTAAGATGACCCTAGTTTAATCCTTATCAACCTGTTTGTGTGTTTTAGGATTGAATAAGAGACTGTGCCTATCCACGTTTTTTGCATGATTAAAGGCCTTCTTGAGGCATGTTTTAGTATAGCCTCAATTAACAATCTTTCAGTGAGCTTATTAGCCTCATTTGGAAATGCAGAATCATTGGTACAGTTTTGTTCAATCCATAAACATTGATTACACAGAGCCCCCTACATCAGAGTCCGCAGAGCCCCCACCATCAGTCCACAGATCCCCCATCAAAGTCTGAAGAGTCCACAGAGCCCTCCACCATCAGAGTCTGCAGAGCCTCCCACCATCAGAATATGCAGAGCCCCCCACCATCAGAGTCCACAGAGCACCCCATCATACAATTTGAGGACAAGCTTGGACCTTGAAGAAGGGGACACTCCCCGAAAGCTTGTCCTCAAAATTGTATGTTAGTGCAAATAAAAAAACTATCATGGACAGTACTGAATTGTTTCTGTCGCAAGTGCACTAATATGGCTACAATCACCTCAAGCTTTAAGAATAAAAAACTTAAAGTAGGTATTTTATTACTCAAACTTTACATACACTCTTTATCCAATGATTTTTCAGAGGAATTGTTTGCCCTTACCAGTGTCCTAGTGCAAGTAGTCTCTACCCTATTAATTTGTTCAAGTGAACTGTGCTCATGTACAGGTGTAGCTAAAGGAACATCTCCTGATTGCTTTATACTTGTTTAAATGGGCCCCAGAGCTGGTACTATTCTTGTGGCCTAAGTGTGATCTTGATTTTCTCTAGCTTGTTCTTATTACTCATTATCTGTGTTAGCCTGACCCTGGAGTATTCCTAGTTCCCTAGTCGTTACCAAGTTCCTTTATTGTACCACAAAAAAAGACATGTATACCCTCAAGGTGAATGATTCACCAATAGTTCCACTGCAATTCTTAGCTCACCTTGAATGGGTAACATCCTTCTGTTAAGGTCTGATAATATGGTGCTAAAATTGTTGGGGCACTCAAGTAAAGCTCACTCATACTGTATAAAGACTTCTTGAACAGTGATTGCTAAAGGTGAATTACAGATCATCATCGATCATCAAACCTAACAGAAACCTGACCCTTTCACATATCTGCAGATGCAGAAATTTCAGTTAGAGGAAGTAAATGGTGCAGGACTTACATAGCATCTCATCTGCGATAACTATAATTTTTATATTGCAGTTAAGTCATTATAATCAACCTATGAACAACTGTTTTACTAAAGAATAAGTGCAGCAGGAACAAGAAAGAAGCAAAAGGTTGTATTTTCAAGTTTGCTTCATCTGCCTGGATATAGTCAAATAGAGAGTGTTAAAGGTACATGCTATCTAAACTCTTTTTTAACAAAAAAAAAAATTTACAAATAAAAGCAATGAGAGTAAAAAGATCAATGAGTAAAAAAAAACAGTAAACATCCTTTGAAACAAATTTACTGTACAATAACATTTAACAAAAATCTGTGCTTAAGGTGACATAATAGACTACGGATAGCAGCTAGGAACTATACCCTGTTACCAGGCATTCAACATAAATATATAACAACAGTGCAGCTCTTAATATAAACCAAAGAGGGTGCATGCGCGGCCGGCTACTGGATGGACGCGGCTTGATTACCGCGCCGTCCCACCGCCAGGCTTACCCCTGCACACTCCGGCCCTGAGACTCCACAGCGACAGGAGACACTCTTGAAGGGTGTACAACCCTCATGGATGATGCCACACCACCGCAAAACCCCTGGACTACCAGGGAAACTTACCTGCTGTGCCAGCGGGAATCCAAGATGGCGCCAGCTCCTCCACAGGCAGACACAGCAGCCAGGTAGAAGACAGCACTCCCCAGCACCCAGATGTGCGGCTGATGGCTTCCTTGTACCCTGGATACCCGGGTGAATTATCTCCTCCCCTGTCACCCACCATAAGCAGCCCAGTTAAATCAAGGCCACGCTTAGAGGGGGATCCCAGCTCAGAAAACTCACTACTTACTCCTTTATCTCTTCATATCAATGGTGAGCCATCAGTAATAGAAGCATTTCCAGAGTCTGATCAACCTATCACAAAATTATGTATGAAAAATAAGCTATTATCCCTGCATCAAACGTTACACAGTGATATAACAGCATCACTGTCTCAGATCTCCACTGTGATTCAGCACCAAGAACACAGAATACACCACATTGAGATGAGAATGAGAGAAATGGTCACAGCGCACAATGATCTAATTGACGCACATGTGGACCACAACACAGATATTGAGCAAATAAATCTGAAATTAGCGGACCTGGAGGACCGCTCCAGATTCAACAATATCAAATTGAGAGGTATCCCGGAAAATATTACCAATGACCCATTGCTCCCATATAATCAACAATATATTAAACACCTTGTCCCATCTATCTCTGATGTTGAGCTCGCCATAGACCGAGCACACCACATCCCTAAACCATCCTTCCTCTCAGCATCAATCCCGAGAGATGTTCTGGCCCGCATTCACTTTTACCACATAAAGGAGAAAATAATGGCGGCGGCTTACATTACACAGTATGCAAACTTACAAATACTGCAAACTTACTGCCAATGCTCTTGTCATTGCATTATCATAAACAATGTCTAATAAGTTATTTAAAGTACACCTGTGCCTAGGCTATTAAACTCTTTATACATTCTGAACAAAACGTAAAAGAGCTTTAACCACTTGGCTACCGGGCACTTTCATCCCCTTCCTGCCCAGGCCAATTTTCAGCTTTCTGCACTGTCGCACTTTGAATGACAACATGCAACATTGCACTCATATTACATTTTTATCATTTTTTTGAGACAGATAGAGCTTTCTTTTGTTGGTATTTAATCACCTCTGGGTTTTTTTCTTTTTGCTAAACAAACTAAAAAAACAGAAAATTTTGAAAAAAAAAATATTTTTTCTTAGTTTTTGTTATAACATTTTGTAAATAAGTAATTTTTCTCCACTGATGTGCACTAATGAGGCTGCACTGATGAGCACTGTTAGGCTGCACAGATGGGCACTGATAGGCAGCACTGATGGGAACTGATGAGGAGGCACTGGTAGGTTGCACTGATGAGCATTGACAGGCATCACTGATGGGCACTGATAGGCAGCACTTATATATGTCACTGATAGGTGGCACTGACTGGAACTGTTAAGCAGCACTGACAGGCACTGATAAATGGCATTGATGGGCACTGATAGGTGGCACAGACTGGCACTGATAGGTGGCACGGACTGGCACTGATAGGTTGCAATGAAAGGCAGCTCAGATGGGCACTGATATGTGGCATTGATGTGCAATGGTAGGCACTGATATGTGGCATTGATGTGGCACTGATGGGCACTGACAGGTGGCACTGATTGGGCTATACTGATCATCAGGGCACTGATTATCAGTGCCTTGATGATCACTGTATATGACCTCTCAAAGAAATGTTGCTTACCGGCTCTCCTCTCCTCATGAGCTGTCAGCGTGAGAAGATGAATGCCAATAACTGGCATTTCCTTGTTTACATGCGATCAGCTGTGATTGGACACAGCTGATCACATGACAGAGCCGATGTCTTCGGCTCTTTCATCTGATCGGTGATCCACTGTATCCCAGGGACACAGCACGCCACCAATCATTGCACGCCCCCAGGGGGGCGCATGCACAGTTAGATTGGGAGGATGTCATAGGATGTCCTCCCAGAACGAGAGAACCGCCTCCTGCCCATCATTACCGTATATGGCAGGCAGGTGGCGGTTACAGCATATTTTCACTTTTCCAGTCAAATTTAAGAAAACCTCACTATATATTTGTTAAGTGTTCCAATTCACAAAGCCTAATTTAAAAAAAAAACATATTTCTTACCTTTTAGATGTTTCTTAAGAGAAGGTGCCATAGCTAACTGCAAGGATTTTTGAATAATATAAGACTGAGTCTCTCATAAGTCTGTCCTTATTAACATACAATGCAAGAAGCCTAGCCTCTAAACCTTTAATCCTTTGTTGGAACAGACGGTGTTCAAATCTAGTAACAACTGATAATAAAAATATGCCTCCACAGCTTAAATATTGCAAACACAGCTTCCCATCCCCTTCATAAATAAAGAGATATAGTAGAATTTTACAGTGCTCGAGGATCCAGAAAGGTGCACCTAAAAAAGGTAAGCTGCTTTCTTTTTAAAGTTATGTTGTATGAATGAGAACATAACAAATATAAGTAACAAATATAAAGCAGGTGTTATCCTGATTTGGCTGCAAAAGTGGAAAAAAAAAAAACTTTTAAGCAAGCCTTCATTCACCTTTCTAGTTGCTTGTACTGTGAAGTAGATAGTTTTCAAAGACACTCAAAGATCACAGCAAAGATTCTGAGTTTGGGTTTCAGTTCATTTCCAGAAGCTTTGAAACACTTGCTGGTTGTTTATATTAAAAGGCTGCCAGGATGCCAAGATTCTATTCAAAAATATATATTTTTTTTAAATTGTTGGCTTTGCAGATTTGTGTTAACATCTTGCTAAACAGTTAACAATAATATGTAAATCAGAACACTGTTACATTTCCAGACCATACTGTATGACTTAGAGCTGTCTGAATATTAAAATGGCAGCTTAATATCACTCATTAAGCTTGATCTACTAATGTGTCAAATGACCAAGTTCAGGGAAGTAATCACTGTGAACTTTAACCCTTTTGCTGCAAGGCCCTGATCTCCACTTTTAAACTCATGCATCCAGGACATTTAATTTTTCCATTTTTATCATTTTTCCCTTACAGCTTTCAGACTTTCTGAAAGATCCCACAAACCATACATTTTCTGAAAGCATAGGACCAGTAGAATAAAAGGAAGGCACTACTGATTTTTTTTAAGCCATGTGATATTTGCACAAATGTTTTTCAAAACAATATTTTCACTAAAATACACAAATTATTATTACTGAATACATATTTGGCAAAAATTTACAAAATTCCTGATAAATTCCTACTAAATATAAAAGATAAAACTATTTGGAGTTAATAAATAACAAATATTTGACATTTTTAAATTGCACCTTTGTGTGAAATGTTGAAACTGAAGGTGTGCAAGATGTAAATAAAAACAATTTAATCTAAAATCTGGAGGTTATCATTTTTCACGTACAGCTTTCAGAATTTCTAAAAGACTCCCCAAACTACACTTTTCTGAAAGTACATGACCTACAGAATAAAAAAAAATTGCTACTGATTTTTTTAGGCTCCACGATAGTTGCACAAATGTTCATCAAATCGCTATTTTCACTAAAAATACACTGAAATTATTATTAGTGGATATGTAAATGGCAAAATTTAAGAAATTGCTGCTAAATTCCTACTAAATATAAAAGCTAAAACTGTATTGAGTTTAAATTTTAAATTGCACCTTTTTGTGAAATGGTGAAAACTGAAGGTACGTTAAACTGTAAAATAAAAACTATTTACTGTAAAAAATCCGGAGGTTACCATTTTTCACTTACAGCTTTCAGAATTTAAAAAGACCCCATCAAACCATATATTTTCTGAAACATGACCTGTTGAATAAAAAAAAAGCGCTTCTGATTTTTTTATACCCCTCAATAGATGCACAAATGTTCATCAAATTGCTATGTTCTCTAAAAATACTGTAAAATCATTATTAGTGCATGAAAAACACAACACAACTTACAAAATTCCTGCTAAATTGCTAACAAGGCCTCGTTCACATGAGGCGTTCTAGAGTGTATGCCTGTGGAGGGCTATGTTTACCTGCCTAGGGATGCGCAGGCAGTCTCATTCATGTCAATTGGGATGCAATGGCTGCATGGGCATAGCCACTGCTTCTAATCTGATATCCGTGTGTCTGTGTTTCAGATCATGCACCCACACCGAGAGTGAGCTGACATGCATCTGGTCCCACATTGATGTCAAATTGGGAGCAATGGCTGTGTTCGTGCAGTTGCTACATCCCAAATGACAACAATGAGACTGCCCGCACAGGGTGCACAAAACACCTATGCACCCCTGTGCAGGTAAACATGGCCTTGCAGGGGTGTACACTGTATATGCCTTGTGTGAACAAGGCCTTACTATGTTTTTTTCTTTATTATTTATTTTAATTTGTTTTATTTGTTATGTTTTGTAAAATTTTTGGGGTGTTTGGGGGGGCTTTAGTGAGATATAAACAGACCCCTAATGTCTCTTTTGGTTTTGAGGACTAAAAACAGTCCCTTTCTCTGCAGCCTAAGTGGCACATTACATGAATGAATGAGGAGCCTGCATAGAGATTCCTATTCACTCACAGGAGCAATGTCCATTGATGTATATGTAATGTATATTGTTTATTGAAAGCAAGGGAGGGGGCTGGTAAATACATGTCTACCAAGCCCCCCACCCCCTGCTCTCCATCCTGACAACTGCTTGAGCAGCAGCTGCAGGTGTCGAGAGGAGAAGAGAGGAAATTCCGGCCAGCAGTTGGAGATTGGTTATCTGAGGGCCATTTCAGGGGCCATTGCACCTTCAAAGCTCCTGCAGCACCTGAAGCAAGCCAGCAGGAGAAGCAGAGGAGGTAAGTTGATTGCTGCAGGGTAGCTACAGGGGATAGGGTTTGTGAGGGGGGCGGATCAGTGCAGGGGGAAAGTGGGGGCATTGGTATGAAGGGGTCACATTTGAGGTGAATAGCTCTGATCAGTGGCTTGTTCAATGCTAATCAGAGCTATCTGTTTGTTCAGTAGTGCCTGATGAAGTGACCATGAGCCTATAGCAAAGGTCTGAGTATGATTGGATGGTGCTTTTGTGTCTTTTTTCTTTAGCTTGCTTTTAGTGTGGGGTAAATAGAGTGCAGCAGTCACTTGTTGCTGACCATCCAGTTTTATTTTGCATCGTCCCCACAAAGTTATTATAAAATGTAAAATGGTAAAAATAGTTTGCAAAAACAGAATTTTTCTCCATAACCCATTCTGCCCCTTTACCCATCTCTAATTCTTCTTAAAGTTACAGCCCTTAAGTTTGAGTGGGCAAAACTTAGCCACACCATCACAGGCACCACAATTTGATGGCAAAACCAACAATCCTAAAAAAAAATAACAAGCTGCAGAGAGATGTTTTTAGCTGCCTTTAGGTATTGATTGGTAAAAATCGGCCATTGCCATCACAGGGCAAAGGCAGCTGTGTTAAAAAAAAAAAAAAGAAGATTGCTACAGCTCTTATGGGTAGACGAACACTATATTGCCAAAGTATTGGGACACCCTTCCAAATCATTGGATTCAGGTTTTCCTCATGGCCACAGGTGTATAAAATCAAGCACCTAGGCATGCAGACTGCTTCTACAAACATTTGTGAAAGAATGGGTCACTCTTAGGAGCTCAGTGATTTCAAGCATGGTACCGTGATAGGTTGAGACCTGTGCAATAAGTCCATCCATGAAATTTCCTTGCTACTAAATATTCCACAGTCAACTGTTAGTGGTACTATAACAAAGTGGAAGCTACAGGGAACAACAGCAACTCAGCCACGAAGTGGTAGACCACAAGAATGACAGAACAAGGTCAGTGCAGAAGTTGCCAACAGTCTGCAGAGTCAGTAGTTAAAGACCTTAGAACTTCATGTGGCCTTCAGATTAGCACAACAACAGTGTGTAGAGAGCTTCATGGAATGGGTTTCCATGACCAAGCAGCTGCATCCAAGCCTTACATCACCAAGTAGCATGCAAAGCATTGGATGCAGTGATGTAGATCACACCACCACTAGGTTCTAGAGCAGTGGAGACGTGTTCTTTGGAGTGGCAAATCACACTTCTCTGTCTGACAATCTGATGGACATGTCTGGGCTTGGCAGTTGCCAGGAGAATGGTACTTGCCTGACTGCATTGTACTAAGTGCAAAGTTTGGCGGAGGGAGATTATGGTGTGGGTTTGTTATGGTGTGGGTTTGTCAGGGGTTGGATCTCCACCACAATCAGGAAATCCTACTGGTTTGCAAGAGCTGAAATGGTTCCTGAAAAAAACTGTATGCTTTCCTCCTTCTCCCCCATTTCCTGATCTCTCCCCTCCCCAGTGGGCAGCAGACAATGATAGGAGATGAGGATCATGTATTAATCCTCCTGGGTTTATCTCTGCTGCTGTGCCTCCAGTGATATGTTTATAAGGCTATGAAACATTTTTTCCAGAAGAAAAAGATGATGTCAGTTATTCCCATCTGCTCACAGCTCACCAATTTTGTTGCATTCCCAAATGGACAATACATGCATCAGAAGTACTTGGAGGTCTGTTACCATATAAAATGATTCTTGTGTAATATATACTCAATAGGTATTCTGATTTTTGGGAATATATTTAAACCATTGCCTGTGCTTCTCTATTATACCACTCCTAGCTTCCCAGTTGGTGTTACTGTGAATATTTATATTTCAAAGACCTGCCCATTGTTTTTGTTTATCACATCTCACATGGGATGTAAACAGAAGCTTTATTTAAATCCTCCAATCCCCCGAGTTGATATGGGGGCAAGGTCATTTGGGGACATCACCAGGGGACCCCACCCCCATGTTTACCTGTCATTTGGTGAATGATGTGTCCCATGGAGAGACACTTGCCCATTGGCAGGTAGACATGAGGGCAGGGTCACCCGAGGACATC